AGGAATGAAAATAAAAACTAGGAGGAAGGGATTACAGGGACTTCACAGGGCAGAGAAAATTAATTATGGAGTGAGATTAAACAAATAAGGCCCTCCAGGCTCAGTAATCAATGGGTCACAGCAGACTACGCCAAGAGCGGGACTGGGAGTGACAATACCACTTCCAGAGTGGCAGACTAGGCACACGGTAATGGATAAGCTAAGGGTGAAAATAATGGATTCCCCTTTGTTCCCAAAGAATCTAAGGAACCTGCAAAACAGCCAAGGCATGAGCCGTATTCCCAGCCTACAGAACTAAAAATCCAAACTCCTCTTTCTGGCACCTTCCCCTTTCCTTACACCTGTTTCCTAGGTTTCCTTCTCTCTCCAGCTAACCCTCCCTATACTTTAAGTCCTGCCTCTCTGTGGAGTCTCCTTCAGCCACTGTAGAAGACAGGGCTCTTGCCTTTATTGGAATGCCAACATCACTAATGTCAACACCACTGGAGCTGGCAGGTACTCAGCCTTTCTCATTATCGGAAGACAATTGTGTCCACTGAGGCTGCAATCAGAGACATCCACACTTATTACTGATGCCAAGTGTGTGTTTGGCTCTGGGAAACAGGGTAAGTTCCTGGAACACAGGAATCGTACATCTTAGCTGTCCACAGACCCAACTTGGTGACAAACAAATAACATGTTAAGTAAGTATACTTAAGTCTATTTAAATAAGATATATTTCAATTTAAATAAGTATATTTAAATAAGTAAGTTGAACTATTACAGATCAGAATGTGCTTTCTTTCTTTCTTTCTTTTTTTAATTGCCAGAAGGCACATGCTTTCCAGAGATAGAGGGACAGAGAGAGATGAAGAAAGCACACCCTAACTATGTGGTCACATTGCAATCCCTTCTCCATTTCACCATCTTGTTGGGATTTTGGTCATGTATGTACATATACCCGAGTGTTTTTCAAGACACTGGGCTGGGATTCAAATCCAGCTGACCATGTGGGGTCTGGCTCTCAATAATAAGACCACAGGGCCAGCCCCAGAATGTGTTCTCTACCTGGACTCTTGAGGCGATTTTTCTTTTGGTTGTCTCCCTCAACACAAAGCAAGTGCTCCATTAGTCTCTCAAATTCCTTCTAGAACGATAGCCCTTCAAGTATCCACTATATTACACTATGCTGCATTACACTATGTTGCCTTCCACCCATGCGGATTTCACCTGCCAATTTCCAGAATAAAATTCATCTTGTTTACCTCCTATCCACCTTGCCAGTCTGTGCAGATCTTTTCTGTATAAAAATGAAAATCCCTTCAGTGTCCTCGACAATCCTGTTGCAACCTGAGAAACCTGGGCCCAGAGGCAGATGGGCAGCTCATGTTTCCCAGAGCCTCCAGTACAAAGGACCCCATTGGAGGAGGGACATCTGGTTAAATTATTTTGGCACTCACAAAGATTACCAGCTCAACCCAAGCTGCAGGCTCACAGTGGGTGGAAAATAACCCTCAGCCAGCCCTCCCAAGACAGGCAGTGGCTCCCAGATCCTGTGACAGGACAGGATGGTAGAACCTGACACTAAGCTGTGTGATGGGAAGCAATGGCCTAGAAGGTTCCCATACAGAGGACATGTGTGATACAGACCACACATCCACCTAGGGTCCACCAACCCGTCATTCCCAACTGAGGCAAAGGTTAACAAATGACAGTCATTTAGAGCCTGAGAGCCAAATATGTAAGTTTATGCACAACATAAGATACAGGAAGAACACAGGATGTGTTCTGCCCTCAGGAGTTTTTTGGCAACTTAGGACAGAACAGTAGGGGGCAGTATGAAAAGCATTTTAAAAAAAAATCCTTCAAATATTAGTGCTGGGGTCAAACAATTTGCTGCAGGGTGAAGTCCTCCCAGGAAAACTCTCCAGGGATTGATCGGTGGGAGGGAGAGCTGGGACAGCTGCTGGGCTCCTCCTCACACTGCTGGTGGCTGGTGACTGCCACAGCTGAAACAGCACGGCAGGACTTTTATATGAGCTTATTAACAGGACACAGAAACAAAAAATACTTAGGCAAGCTCTCTGGAAGGAGTGTTCTTAAACTCCTCTTGACTGCACATCCTTTAATGGAAAATAATTTAACAATATTCTACAAACCAGATTATAAAGTTCTAGAAACCAGATAAGGCCAAAAAGAGAAACACTGAAATTATTAAAAGCCAATGTTCAGGGACCAGCAGTTGGTGTAATGGCTATGTCGCTGGACTCCCATGTAGTCGACCACAGTTCAAGTCCCAGACCCAGTGGCTTAAACTCATACTGGGCGCGTGTGTGTGCATGCCCAAGATCCCGAGAGGAGAATGGAAGAGAAGGAATCATGGTGTGGCCATCCCCCCAGGGGGGTGATTTCTCGCTTTCTATCTCTCTGTCTCTCTCTGTCTTTCTGGCGAGCACACATGCCCTATAGCAAAAAACTCTCTCTTAAGAAAAAAAAAGCCAACATTTCAATTTTACAGTTCATTATATGCACTTTCAATTCCTTGGCTACCCCCATCATCTATACCAACCTACAAAACTCCAACACCAGTTTACCCTAAGTTCCAATGACTCCACACTTTTTTCCTCACACCCAAACAAGGATAAGATAAAACCCACATCCAAACTGGCTGGAGCACTCTGGTTCATCACTAACCTGCAGAGACAGTTAACTATATCCTCTATCTCTCCCGCACTCTCTGCCAGTGACCTCCTCCTTGCCCAGAGGAGTCTCTGCTCCCCAAGGTCAGCTTCCGGGTTACCCCACCCTCCTCGTTTTCCTCCTACCTCCCAGCCCCTCCTAATTCCCACACCTCCAAATGGTGGGGTGACTGCTGGATCTCTTCCCCTCCTATACTCATGCCTTGTGATCTCGTGTGGTCCACCTTTCTTAGTCTATTGGCGCTGCTATAACAAAATACCTTAGGGGCCAGTAGGTAGTGTGGTAGTTAGGGTACTTGACTCCCACATAGCCGACTGCAGTTCGAATCCCAGACCTTGCAGCTTGCTTTCTCACTTTCTCTCTCTCTCTTTGTGTCTCTCTCTGGTGTCTACACATGCCCTAATAGCAAATTAAATTATTGGGTCATCAGAAAGGTCATGATACATTTTTGCATAGAAAAACAGATCAGGAGACCAGCAGTTAGCGTATTGGCTATGTCGCTGGACTCCCATGTAGTCGACAGTGGTTCGCGTCCCAGACCCGGTGGCTTAAAACTCACGCTGGGTGCGTGTGCGTGCGTGCCCAAGATCCCGAGGAAAATGGAGGAGAAGGGATTGCAGCGTGACCATCCCCCCTGGGGGGTGATTTCTCACTTTCTGTCTCTCTGTCTCTCTCTGTCTGTCTGGCAAGCGCACGCACCCTATAGCAAAAACCTCTAAAAAAAAAAATTAAAAAAGAAAAACACATCAGGACTTTTCTGATAACACAATAACAATA